TTAACTGTCGGCAGTCTGTATTGTATGTGCGCCTCGAACACCACATGTATAAGGCGCCGGGTTATTTCTGTTTGATGCTTATTTTATCAGAATTTTATCAGATCTTTTTTGCCGTAAAGCAATTCGTTACATCGCGAGACCTGATATCACGCGATACTTCCTGATGCTGCGGCCGGCGACCCGCCGGCTCAAAGTTGCAAGTGTGTTTTATCCGCTCACATGCGATAGGGGGGTGCGAAACGACCACCATTCAACCCGAAAAGAGTAATATAACCATTCCAATGACTCCGAAGCTGTTCGGTTGAGGTAAAAAACCTGCATAGTTCACCTTTAATCACAATTGTGACCTCTCCCTTGTGTCAACTTTAGAATTTGTAGACAGCTTTGCCAAGGCATACATTTTAAAGGGGTCATATGATGCCATTTCAAAAGTTGATTATTTTGATTATTGGGTGAATACGTTAACATGCTTTAAATGTTAAAAAACACATTATTTTTCACATACTGTACATTATTGGAGCTCTTCTATTCCCAGTCTGTCTGAAACGCGATGATTTCTACAAAGCCCCTCCTTCTAAAAAAGCTCAGAGTGCTCTGATTGGCCAGCTGACCCAGTGCGTTGTGATTGGCCAAACACCTCAAGCGCGTGTCGGAAATGTAACGCCGCTTACCATAATCGCGAGCTTCAGATTCTTCGTGAGCTTTCAAACACACAGTTAATAATAATGTAGTTGGTTTTACCGGATCAGTTCGAGCCCGAGTCGGATTCTGAAAATGCGGAGGATCAAGCCGATCCATCGGAGCCAACTTCCCGTTTCACAGTGGTAAGTCTTTATATTTAGCCGGCATTGTGCTCTCCCCGATTCAGGAAGCATTCCTTTGTAAAACAATTCGGTTGTACTGCTCAGGAACAGCTTAATAAATGAATCTTAACCTCTGATTCCTAATTTCATCTGCTTTCGGAAGGCCAAGCAAAGCGGTTTTGCACACAGCGTCTCCGCAACATGGCGACAGTTCAGTTCACTGAAGCCTCGTCTTCTCTCTTTGCGTAAGCCTTTAGGCAGCATTATGCTAATATTTCACATTGTGACGTGGACGTTTGAGGAAGTAATATCTGGACTTGGGTCGAGGCGTTTTAGGCAGGTCTGGATCAGTGTTATATAGAATACATCTCTTCATGAGACAATGGGCTTTGCAACTTTGCAGATGTTATACATGTCCTTTAGTAATTTGTGTATCTTTTTGTACAAGGAAAACATTGAAATGTATCATATAACCCCTTTAAAAATATTTTTAAAATATTAATTTATATCAGTATTATAGGCTTATTAACAGATCTTTAGGTGGAAAAAAACATTATCAGGAATCCTCACTAAATTAAAAGTCTAAATCGACTGATTCTATTCATATAAAAAAAATATTAATATGATTAAAATCAATCTGACTTCAATGGAAACAAGGAAATCTGACATTTTGTACAAAGACAAAATTTGGCATATTTAATTAGTGAGTATAAATCATAAAACATAAAATTATTAATTTATTATTTATTTTATGTTGTTTTTATGTGTACCTTTATGAACTCCGCATTAATTTAATTGTAATCTAATTTATCTGCCACCTTTCTCTCTAAATATCAGGAATCACCATTGGAAAAACCTATACATTGAGAAGTTCAAAGATTGTAGCTCTTTAACTATAAATTATAATTATAGCTATGGGTAAGTATAGGTTTTCCAATTATCATTCCTGATAAGAGAGAAGAGAGGTAAATAAATTAAATTAAAACCTATTTGTTTAGAATAGCTTTTACTGTAAATGATTGATTGAATTGATTGATTGATTTTCCATGGTTTTTACTGTATTTTTTGTGACTATACTTTTGGGCACCTATAAATAAAATGTATTATTATTATTATTTGTTGAATCAACGTCTACACACTCGACATAATCAATGACTGCACTGATATCGACAGGCCTTAGATCAGTTCCCAACACACTCTTCAAGTCTTCATCCCCAAGCAGAAGAGACAACAGAAACACATCTAGGGTGAATTGTGTATTCAGTGGTGTGCATTGATCCCTGTCTGTGTTATCTGTCTGGTGGACCCAGGACAGGCTGGACGGGTCACGTGAATGCTTTATGTAATACACTGGGTTGAGATTGCAGCTTGAAACGGGAGCTTGCATCATCTGGCGAGACCCGATCAGAAATAAAGCATGAGCTTGGTAAAAATATGAGATATTCAGGATGCATTGTGCTGTTCAGACACAATTCACATAGATCAGAGTATCGACATCAGTGGCATGTAATTCTACACGGATAAAAAAATTAAATAAAGTGACCCTAAATCAGCTCAATTGCAATAAAATGTCTAAATCTGATACAATCTGATCCATCAAAACGCATATATTTTAAATGACAGGTGCTGTGTTACTGAGCAGATGAAATTGAAGTGAAATTTGCGTGTGTGTCAGAGTGCTGCCATCTGCTGGTCAAATACACAATGATGAAGTAAAATGTTTAGAGAGGGGAGAAAATAAAGCGGTATTTTTTTTATGCCAACCCGGAGTTGGCATCACGCTGGACGCCTTTTGGATTATTGCAGAAAATAAGCTTAACAAAAGCTTACGATACTTACACCTTTTGTTCATCGTGATAATCTTCACGAATGACCACAACTTTTATGAATTTTGAAGCCTAAATAAAATCCGCAGAATTCAAAAGCTAAACGTAGGTTATAAACAAACTACACTACGGTCACATCATTAAGCTTCAACAACTCTTTCAGTCTTTGTTTAAAAACATTTTCTCCTGAAAGCTCGAGTTATAATAGTTTGCAAGAGCACAATTATTAACACACCGAGGCTGTGAAAGCGGACTAGTGAATAGATGAGTTCACCTGTTCGACTGATGATGTCCCCACCAACTTCTGTAGTCCCATTAAGATACTTGTTAGCAACCGCCTTTTACAAGACAAATAAAGGCTTAAAAAACAACAACATTGACTTCAGGACGATGTAATCGGAGGTGCTAAAATGCTCATTTCCAGGTTTGGGGCTACAAAAATACATCATCCCAGCACCACTCTATGGCCCTGTTTACACCTGATATTAAGATGCATTTTGGTCGATCGGATCACAAGTAGACGAGGGAGACACACACGTTTACACCAGGGGCCGGTTTCACAAAGATAGACTTTGACTATGGCTTAGATATAGTAGATAGTCAGACTTCAGATAGACATCTAAATCAGACCGCTGCACAAACCGCTTAAGACTCTGACTATCTTAAGTAGGACTACACTGCAATGCATTCTGGGTAAATTAAGACACTTTTCAAAACAAAAAACATGGCGGATCGAGTAAAGCGCATTCATCCGCTCAGTGCAGTTTACCCCAGCGGAAAATATGTGTTTGTTGGAGGAGTATAACAGTTAGCTTGGGACATTTTACTTGGGAAATTAAGCGGAGAATGTAGTAACAAGAAGAAATGTTTAATTTGGAAAGGGCCATTTTCCCTTTGCTTTTGACTGTTTGTAGTGTAACTGATTGTTACTGCTGGTTGCCAAGGTCTTAGACCTAAGTTAGCCTGGGGGATAGGTGTCTAATTTTTTTAAAACCTTTTTTTAAGGTGTCTAAATTAAGTCAGTCTTTATTTTTGTGAAACAGTCTAACTTGCATTAGACTAGTCTATAAGCAAATTTTCGACTTGTCTAACACTATAGACCGGTCTAAAATAGCTTTGTGAAACCGGCCCCTGGTGTTTTAATGCGTCTCTTTTGTCCACTTTCAACCACTTCTGTCCTGATTTCTTCGAGGAGAGGGTCTATGGGTGGGTAAATGTATGTTTTTTTCAGATCTTTCAATCTAATAGACAAAATAAGTTTATGCAATTGACACATGAACAAGAAAGGAGACGATGGAAAAACATATGGAGAGCATCAGATTTTGTTTCTGCTCTGATAGACGCAAGACTGTGTATTAGAAACCAAACTTGGGTCGACAAAGTTTAAATCCCGTCTGGCTAGTGCGCTTCCCATAATGTTTCAGTAAGCGGTCTTTTGTGGCTGTTCCAACACATTCGACCACATGAGCGTTTACACCCCGAAAGCATCGAAAGGTCGAATGCATTTTACTACCTCTAGAAATGGTCAAAAGTGGACAAGCTCAAAACGTTTTAGACCCCGTTTACACCTGTATTTAGTGTCGTCCACTTGTGATCCGATCAACCAAAACGCCAAATCTTAATACCAGGTGTAAACAGGGCCTAAGATAAGAAAGACCTAAAGAACTAGCCGTGAAGTGGGCAGCATATATAAGTGTTGTTTTAGTACTGGCAATGTGTATGAGTACCTGTGCATCCGTGATAGTCTGGTTTAACAATGGTAGGGACATTTAAAAATCTACCTGCATTCCTAATGCTACTGCCAAAGTAAGTGTCACTGGCCTAATAGAAGAGCTTTTTGTGTTATTTTGGTAAAGTTAAAGTCGGAGAGGAGTGAAGCATTAGTTGATCATCACTCACGGCCTGTTCCTGACAGATCTGTGTGAGTCTCTCCAGCTGTTCCTCTCTCATAGCTTTGGTCTTCTCGTACTGCTGGATCTCCATCTCCATCTCCACCTTCACCTGCAGCACGTACGCTACAGAGGAGAAAAGAGCAAACTTATGTGCTTTTCTTTGGTAGGTCCATTGAATCGCTCAAATCCTTTCTGAGCGAACACTTAAAAAAAATGACCCGTGATATTAACACGGCTTATGTACTGTACATTCATACACTATCGTTCAAAAGTTTGGGGTCGATAACGAGTTTTTCATTGTTTTTGAAAGTCTCATGCTCTCTAAGGCTGCATTTATTTGATCAAAGATACAGTAAAAACAGTAATATTGTGAAATTTTATATTATAATTAAAAATAATTGTTTTCTATTTTAATATATTTTAAAATGTAATTTATTTCTGTGATCAAAGCTGAATTTTCAGCATCATTACTCCAGTCTTCAGTGTCACATGATCCTTCAGAAATCACTCCAATATGATGATTTGATGCTCAAGAAACATTTCTGATTATTATCAATGTTGAAAACAGTCGTGATGCTTAATGTTTTTGTGGAAACCGTGATACAGCATTCTTTGATGAACAACGTTTTTTTATATCTTATATTTTATAAAAACTACCAAAACATACCTTGCATACTTGGGAAGGACATCAGAGTATCATCTAAATATTGTAAATATAAGTATGGTAAGTAGTACCATGATATTACAATATGATGTCATCACTGTAAAATGATACCATCTCAATACTTTATTGTGAAAAATAAGTTGAAAAATAAGAAAATTATCCAAATGACAATTTTTTAATCAAGCTGAATCGATTGTTGGTCCCGTTGCAAAAAAAAGAACATTAAATATTATTATTAATATAATAAAATGATAAATAATACTATATACTAATATAAATCTATCTGAATATATTTAAATAGCTCATCTCTGTTCTGAAACAGCTAATCAAATATTAACAGGCTTATAAATAGCCAATTGTTTTCTGAAATCATCCAATGCAGCCAAATGCTAACATCAGCTCCACCCACAGCTAAGCTAGAGAACATATTTGACTGATATTTCATGAATTGACAATAGCGTCTGACGTTGATTCTCTCTGGCTTGGCTGGGATTGTGCTGAGAGGGCCAAAGGCTTTTCATCAGGTGCTGCTGGCTCTTAATAAAGCCATATCCACATGACCCCTCTTACCATCTACTCGCTTCCCATATCAATTAGACTCTTCTCACACTGGTACCATCTGCCGAGAGAACTCCCAGCATGCCTTGCTGCATGGCAATGTGTTACTCAGTCCCTCAATATTCTTCATACATTTCAGGATTATTAATATTATTCTAAATTCACCATGAAATCAAAATGAACAAATCTTGTTTTTTTTATTGAATATTACAGTATCTATTATAAATGATTTATCTGTGCACTTATTATTTAATTATTTAAAAAAAAAAAAAAAAAAAAAAAATTCTTTAATCAAAATAACTTTCCCTCCTCCTAGCAGCTACTCTCTTCTCTGATGATGTGTTTACTGACACGAGGGCGGGGTCAACCTGTCACTCACATGAGATCCACCAATAGCAAACCACAACCAGCCAATCAATTCCTGATGGACAAAATCAAGTCCCGTCCAACATTTGTTTTTTGTTCAAAAAGCCGTTTCATTCGGATTTATGTCACAATAGGGAAGAAAAGACTATTGCAACTTCCATTTCATACCGACATTATTCATTTTATATATAATGTATTCAAATTAAAATGTATTAAAATATGCATTATAGAGTGGGATTTAATATGCATAATCTCTCTTAAATCGAAGAAATTGTACTGCTCTGAATGCTGCTATTTTATAGCACAGTTCTGATCAAATTATAGAATTGTTTCATATGTTCTCCTAAAATTCCTTGGGAAAAATAAAGAAAAACTTGCTCACAAAAGACTATTAAAGGGATAGTTCACCCAAAAACTAAGCGGTTTAGTTAAAATTTTCTAAAGAGAAACGATCGCACGATATAAAGTGATCGTGTCTCTTCAGAAAATTTGGATTAAACCTTTCAATTCATATGGATTAGTTTTATGATCTCATTATGAACTTTTTGAAGTTACAAAGTGGTAGTTGTGTAGAGTCAACGGAGGGACAGAAATCTCTCAGATTTCATTAAAAATATCATTTTTGTTTAGAAGATTAACAAAATTCTCACGGCTTTGGAACGACATGAGGGTGAGAATGATGACAGAAGTTTCCTTTTTGGGTGAACTAACCCTTAAATAAAAAATAAAAAATATATAAAATATATAATAATATAAAATAAAAAACATGTTTCAGCAACTAACCCTTAATAAATCTAATTATGCACTGGTGTCTTTTCAAAAGTTCAGCACATGGTGTTTTATGTCCAGCTGTGAGCATATCATGAAACATCCACAGGGTGGCGTAAAACTGAATCAGAATCGCTGTGAGACTTGAGCTCATGAATGTTAATTGGTCAGCGTGTCTCTGTCAAATATCAAGCTTTAATTCCTTCTTCATTTTCAGTGTTCAGATTGCATACACAGTGTTAATACAACACCAGTGCAACACTGAAGTTAAATATAACGACAGTATTCAGCTGTCTGCTGTTTTGCCGACTGCGCACTCTCTCTCTCTCTCGCATCTTGAGGTGCATGAACGCACACACATGAAACAATATGTAATTCTCATATCTTGCACATAACCATTCTCGAAGAAAATGGAAAGATATGGGCAAACGGACATGCATAATACACAAGATTCATGGGCACAAAGCGATTTAGATGTAAATTGTAATAAAAAAGGTACACAAGACAAAAAATCAGAGCAAGTTTGTCCTCACATGGACTGCAAACTCATAGTAAGAATAGTATGATTGTTAATATAATAAATAATATGATTATTTATGCATTATATTTTTGTTAGTTTCTAAAATTGTTTTTGGTGAATGCCTTGTCACGATATTGCATCAGTACTTCAGTTTCTTGTATCCGCTGTTATTTTAGTATTTTATTACAGTTTTATTAATATTTTAAATTAGCCTTCACTTGTATATTTTCAGTTTTCATTTCACTTTTAGTTTAAGGTTTAGTATTTTTTTTTGTTATGCGCTTTTAGGATTTTTATTAGTTTTTGTTTCTCTTAAATAATTCTATATAGCTTTAAATTTCATTTCAGTTTCAGTAATCTTACTATTATTTATCATGTCTTTCATATGTGACTATATCTCTCTGGCAGAGATGTTTGTTGTTCATGACGGCGCTGCACTCGACAGCTCAATGATGTTTAGTGAGAATGAGGGTGACCTGCCCCAGCCATCGATCATGAATACACTTGCATAAACAGAACCTGTGCTGAGACATTATGGACATCATGCTCCTTTCAGCATCAACAAAAGACTCTGAATCAATCTGAATTTTAATAAGACCACCACTGGCAGCAGCAGAGCGTGCGAGGCGTCTATCATAACTCACACTCATTGGGCCGGACAGGACAACAGCTAGTAAAATTAATCAGTTGAATTGGCTAATGCATTTACATGAACACTTTCTTTAAGGGTATCTTGAAGTGTTTTAAGGGTCAAAATTATTTACATTTGGTAAACTAAAACGCTTTTTTTTTTTTAAGACTTCATAGTGTCAGGAAATGCGAGGAAACCCTGTGAATGGAGTGTCGTCAAAAAGGAACTGACCGTCAATGATCCTCTTGACTCTCCAGATGCGGAGGGTGATGATGAGGCTGATGGCGTCCCAGGGGCTGCTGGGACCGTTAGCCACCGTGGAGGCCACCATTGGGGCCAGAGAGAGGACAATCACAGCACCGTCAAATACCTGACAAAAACAAACAAACAAACACCAGTGTCTTTTAGCTTGTAAAAGTCTTTTTAATATTATGGGCTGTTACACAGCAGGTAATATAATCACTCAGCTTCATAACATAGCATACTAACGACTATGTACTTAAATAAATAGATAAATAAATACATAATACTTATATAAAATATCCAAATAATAATATATTTGGAATTTATACTATTATATGTATCCAATATACTTTAAAATATTTAATACATGCTTTCTAATAAATTATTTCTGAAAAACATTATATATATATATATATATATATATATATATATATGATCCTTTATGTATTTTATATATTTTTCTATTATACAAAACATGTGTGAGAGTGTGTGTGCACCATAAAATAATAAGTACATATTTAATAAAACATTTAATACACACACACACGCATACATATATGCATATATATATATATATATATATTAGGGCTGTCAAAAGATTAATCGCGATTAATCGCATCCAAAATAAAAGTTTGTGTTTACATAATATACTGTATGTGTGTGTACTGTGTATAATTATTTTGTATATAAATGCACACACGTATATATTTCAGAAAAATATGTTATTTATATATAAAATGTTTATATTTATATAAAATATACATTATATATAGGCTACATTCAGTCTATATACAGTATATACATGCAAATATTTCTTAAATACACATGCATGTGTGGGTATTTATCTATTAAAAATAATTATACACAGTACACACACATATATTATGTAAACACAAACTTTTATTTTGGATGCGAATAATCGTGATTAATTGTTTGACAGCCCTAATATATATATATATATATATAGTGCTATCAAATCGAATAACCATGATTAATCAAATCTAACATAAAAGTTAGATGCGATTAATATAGTTTATATATATGCATATGTGTGTGTTATATAGTATGCATGCATATATATATATATATATATATATATATATTCTTTTTATATATAATTTCGATCATATAAAAATATTGATTTCTTTCATGTATATATAGACAAATTTATACTTGTTATATATTTATTATATATTATAAATATATTGACCTTTTTATTGAATTTTTTTTCATCATGTGTGCTCATCAAGTAAATGCTTTTTAAAACTTCATATCAGGCACATATGACAACAAAGTGAATATGTAAATGAATGGGCGGGGTCAATAGAACTGAATCGCCAATCCCAGTGCAGTTGGATCAATGGATCCACTCCTGCTCTGGGAACAATGTGACATTGAGAGAGTGTCACTGTGCCAGAGAGACTCATTCTTCATTAAGTTTCAAGGGCTCGCCTCTTTCCTCTGTGTCCCCCCTGTACTAATGGGACCCCGGGGAGCTTACCTCAACTTTGTTCTCTATATAATCCCATATCCCGAGCACCACAATCCTAAAGACAGTCTGGGAGAGCAAGAGAGAGACACATATAAGTGGAAGAGCGCCACAGAATTAAAAAGAACAGATTAATGAAAATCAGTTATCATATTTCTGATGGTTCAGCACATTGCATTCTGGGAAATCCTCCACTAAAGAACAAACAACCACGTTTTATGAAAACCGAGAGAAGCCTTGAAACCCCCCCCCCCCCCCCCCGCCCCCAAAGAAACAGGCAAACATTCCTTTTCCAGCGACCCACGAACAGCACACGTAAATAATGAGCTTGCAGGGGGAAATGTGTACGTAGTGTAATTCGAAATTTAAGTGATATCGAGATGTGGCGGCAACAGAATTCACCTCCATTTGGTGGTGAAATAACCCCGGCGCCTCCGCAAAACCCATTTCCAACCCGAATCATTTTTTCCCCTTTCATCTAGTCTCTGAACGCAGCTCATAATACATCAGTGACCTGCAATATGTATTCATAAACTCGCAAGCTGGCGAGATCTCATTGAAACACTCGAAGGAGACGCTGTGCTTTAGTGACTGCTGACTCAGGTGGCACACGCTAGTCTTTTTAGCTTTTTCTATCTCCTACTTCACTCCCTTTCTCTCTCGGGCTAAAAGATGTGAGCGACGCTGAAAGTTTCAGGCTTTCCTGTCTCTTGGCCTCTATCGACAAGTAAAACGCAAGTTGAAGGAAATAAATGCAAGTCTGCTTTAAAAGAGCCAGAGACAAATGCAACTGGATCTGAAGAAATGGGAATCAATAGAAGTCAGCACGTGTCAGGACACACACACTTTTAAAGTACAGTAACAGCACTATGTGAAACGGCTTTTTCTTGGGTTCAATTAAGACGGCCCTACAGCATAAACATTCAGACGAAGCCTTACATCAAATACTTCCATCCGATAGATCCCGTTGTGGCCTCATTAATTTGAAACACCATACTTTATCGATAATTGTGAAAAAGGCTTTCTAGTAAGCCTGGTGGCTCTCTGTAAATCATGATTGTCTCAGAGTCAGCATCTTGGTTGTTTTAGTCGCCTGTGACCTTTAAACACTCATATCCATGAAAATCTTTTATTGCAGAGATGTTACACCGTTATCTTTCATTAAAGTCTCAGACGTTTCCAAATATTTATGGAAAAAACATCATTTATTAACATTTAACAACATTTATTTCCATCAAGAGGTGCATCAATATTTGGTCAAGATCTTGTATTGAGTCCAGCACTCTGTAAAGTCTCCTCCAGCACATCCCAAAGACTTTCACTGAATTTAAGGTCTGGACTCAGAGGTGCCAATTCATGTGTGAAAATGATTCTTCATGCTCCCTCCCAACCATTCTTTCACAATTTGAGCCTGATGAATCTTAACATCATCATCCTGAAACATAGTCATGATGTGTCTTCCTACATGGTTGTTTAAGAAATGAAAGCTACAGACTCCATCATTAGGGTTAGAAGAACTGTTGCCAAACATATGCTAGAATCGTAATAAGCGATAATGATCCAATCATAGACTCTTAGGCATTTGCCTGTTTAAATCCAAACAGCAATTATTATTTTTTTTTTGTATGTTATAAATAAAACGAATGTGTAGACTAGTATAGCAGAGACAACTTAGTCTTGAAAGAATTGAAGGAGAGATTTTTAATGAGAAATGACACTCACCTCAGTGAAGAAGACAGACAGGATGACCAGGCTGATCCAGTGGATGATACAGGCGAACTGGAATGCATTATTAACTGTGGAAACAAATCAAAGAGATCCTGCGCTCACAATTCACATAATGATTCTGGATAAAATACAGTCAAATGTTATGAGCTCAAAATAAACAACTCCAAAAAAGTACACTACCATTCAAAAGTTTGGGGTCAGTATGATTGCAAAAGATATGCTTTGTATTTTTAACTTTTTATTCATCAAATTGTTTTACGGTTTCCACAAAAGTATGAAGCAGCTCAACTGTTTTCAACATTGATTGATCATTTTAAATGTTTCCCGAACAGCAAATCAGCATATTATAATGATTTCTGAAGGATCATGTGACACTGAAGACTGGAGTACTGATGCTGAAAATTCAGTTTTGCATCACAGGAATAAATTACATTATAAAATATATTCAAATAGAAAACAGTTTTTTTTTAAGTTGTAATAATATTTCAGAATACTGCTGCTTTTACTGTATTTTTAAATCAAAGAAATGCAGGCTTGGCAAGAACAAGAAGTATTAAAAAGTCTTACAGACCCCAAACTTTTAAATGTTAGTGTATTTAGTGTTCAGTTCATTTTAGTGAATTGGTTCATTTGGATGGATTGGATGTAAATGTTTCAATGAATCAATGTTCAATTGAATGAATCAAATTCAATGAATCAAAGTTGTTCGATGATGGCACGCTACATTACATTTTGATCAAATATATAAAAAATATTGTAACAGCCATTTTAATTGAAATATTATAAAAATATAAATTTCTAATGATTCTAATAATACCATTTTTTCTTTTAGAATAATAGGCAAAGATCCATTATTTACAATAAAACCTTTTCATTTATTTTTACCTCAAGAAAGTGAAAAGGGTGAATTTTGGTTTCATTTTGAATGTTGATGAGGAAAGTTATTAATATGTTTTTGATTTTTCTCCCAAACAAACCCAGATAGCATACAAGTAGCCTCATCTGGGCCAACTATGGCACATATGGCTCAGTTCTGGCAGCGGCAAAGGTCATATGGGCCGTATCTGGCCCACACACAGCAAGCCACAACTCACACTAAAACCAGCTTTATGTGTGTGGGCCAGATACGGCCCATATGACCTTTGCCGCTGCCAGAACTGAGCCATATGTGCCATAGTTGGCCCAGATGAGGCCTGGATATGCATGTTATTGCCAGCCACACTCAGGTTGAGTTATCGCCGTCACTCCATGCGGTGTGTGGGCCAGAAGAATGTGGGAGATGTGGGCCAAAACTGGGCCAGATGTCATTTGCTATCTGGGAAGTGATTTCCAAATGCTTTGCTAATCAGCTCATACAAATCATTAAACTGGTTCACATTGTCTGTTTCTGAACCATCATTAATAGTAAGTTATACAAGCAGTGTTGAAAAGTTACTCTAAAAAAGGAATTAATTACTAGCTACTAATTACAGCTTTACCAGTGTAATTAGATCACTGTACTAAATCACTCTATTTAAAAAAATATTGCATTACTTATTACTTACTAAATACCATATCAACCTAAACCAGTTGAACAATACAAGGATAGACATGAAACAGCTATTTTAATCCGTTCAAATAATTATATATAAAATTGCATAAATTATTTTTGAACTGATCAAAGTATTTCAAGGGAGAAGGTTACATTAAAACATACATATTGATGTACGTTTACATAACCTCACATAATAGTGTAATCTACTTGGGGAGGGGGAAAAATGGGCCATTTATTCTTCAGAATTATTCTCATATGAAAGTACTCCTCCTTACAGGGACTTTTCGAGTGGGAAGCCAAATTCCCTGCATGAGCCGCATCCGTGTCGCAAGCCGAGGACAGTCACTGCTCAATCTCATTACGGCAAACGCCTGAACTGAAAGCATTAGGCATTTGTGATTTGATATTGCACCCAATCCGCGTCCTGCATCTGTCTATTTATCCGCTCCATTACGGTGCAAGAGATCTACTGCATTCAGTTATCACCCGCCCTCCCTCCCGGCCCATATGTCTTGGTTTGCTCTGTTCACTGATCTGTCCATCAGCCCATTCATCTCCCTCAATCCCTCCTTCCATTAATCTCGCCGGCCGCTCGCTGTCCTGCACTCCTTCACTCTTCTCTCTCTCCGTTCCAATCCATCTCCCCCTCAATCTGTCTTTCAGGACTTTGTAAAGGCCAGAGAAGACAGAGAGATATAGGCTGACTTATGCTTCTGTCATCTCTCACATTTCTCTCTTTAGTGTGCACTCATCTGCACGCTGACCCGTGATTTTTCGCCATAGCATGAATGGGGATCTCCAAATGAAAATGTCCAGGCAAATAGCAGCAAAGAACATGTCGTTTCACAACGTGTTTATTCAGAATAATCTCAGCAGAGATTAGTTCAACAATTGCAGATGTATAGTTATGAGAGATAGTGTATACTATAGACTGCATACTTTTCAATTGTCAAGATTGTATTATGAGAATATGAAATGCATGTGGTTTATTAGGTTGGGAAATGAAAACCAGTTCTTATTCAGAAGAACCAACTGAATATTTAAAAAAAAATCTAAATCTAATCTAAACAAACGAGTCTTATGAGACTCTTAGTGAATCACAAACATACAGTGTACTCTGAATCCCAAACAACTGATTCTTATAAGCCTTTTCTTTTAGTGAATTAAAAACATACAGCGTGACCAGTGTAGTCCAATTCCTCAACGAATGACTCTTGTGAGTTCTTTTTAGTGAATCAAAACATACAGTGTGACCACAGTTAACCAAATGACATGCATATTGACCAGTATAGTCTGATTCCATACGGATGACTCTTATAAACTATTTATTCGATTCCCAAACTAATTACAATTATTTCTTCCTAGTGAATCAAAAACGTACAGCCCAACCAATGGTGTGAATCCCAAACACAGGATTCTTTAAGCTGTTTCTCTTTAGGGAATTAAAAACAGTGAGACTAGTGTAATTTAGGGAAAAAATTTTTTTTTTAAGGAATCAACAATCTAATTCCTGAACGAATGACTCTTATGTGCCAGTTCTTTTTTGAATTAAATCAACACATACAGTGTGACCACAGTATTTTGAATCCCTAATAAATTACATCGAGCTCAACCAGTGTAGTCCGGTTCCTGTATGAATGACTCTGAGCCATCTCTTCCTAGTGAATCAAAACAGCATGACCAGTGTAGTCCAAATCCGAATCCCTTATACAGTAAGTTGCCGTGTTTGATGTGACAGAGCATGTGTGCTAACTAGATGGTAAATCCTCATTCTGAGGCTAGAATGGCTTCTAAAGAGATCCTGAACCCCTTCTAATACTCACATTGTAGAAGCTTAGTATCGATGAGCAGTTCCAGAGTCAGTAAGAGCACCACCAAGATGACACAGGCCACCAGGAAACAGTTGAAGCCAGCACTCAGCAAACACACCTGCCAGAGCGCTGCCCTCCTCCCGCAGCACGGCTTCAGCCAGTTAGACCTGCAGATCAGATACAGCGGCAGAGACAGAAAGAGAAGAGAACCATTTCTGAGCTACAAAACCACAAACACAAGACAGCTGGAGTCTACTTTAACACATATTTGCTAACACAGGTAGGCATGAAAACACAAGTTTACTTCTATTTCTACTTTTATGTAAAAGTAGAAGTCAATATTACTGTATGTACAAGTGGAAGCAATCTTATATGTAGAAGCAGATGTAACCTTGTACACATTCTTAAAAGTTTACGTTTACATACAAGTAAACTTGTGTACAAATAGAAGGAAGCTTGAATGTTAATCTATTTTTACATAGAAGTTTGCTTGTTTGTACCAAGTTTAAGTCTAATTTTACAAGTAGAAGTGAACCTGTAAGTAAAAGTAAACATGTATAAACATGTAGAATTAGAAATAAAAATAAATGTGTATGTAAAAGTAAACTTGTATGAATGTGTAGAAGCAAACTTGTACACATTCTTACAAGCTTACATCTACATACAAATAAACTAATGTACAAGCTTGAATGTTAAAGTAGAATTAAAAGTGTATGTAAAAGTAGAAGTAAATTTATCTACAAGTAGAAGCAAGCTTGTAAGTAGAAGTAAACTTGTATGTACACATAGGAACAAACTTGTATGTTCATCTATTTTACATGCAAGTTTGCTTCTCTTTATTCAAGTTAACACAAGTTGTACATAAGTTACTTTAACAAGTAGAAGCAAACTTGTATATAAAAACAGAAGTATACTTGTATGTAAAATGTATGAATGTGTAGAAGTAGAAATAGAAGTAATCTTGTATGAATGTGTACAAGTTTACATCTGCTTTTACAAGTTTACATCCACAATCAAGAAAACTTATGTACAAATAGAAGCAAGCTTTTATGAAAAAGTAAACTTCTACTTTTACATACAAGTTTACCTTTATTTGGTTTTACCTTTATTTACATAAAAATGTACTTGTATGTAGACGTAAACTTAAATGTGTGTAAGTTTGCATCTTCTTTTACAAACAAGTTTGCTTCTACTTGTATGAATGTGTAGATTTAACTTGCATACAAGTTTACTTATGCAAGTGTACTTCTACTTTTACATACAATTTTAGTTCTATTTCTACATGCACATACAAGTTTACTTGTACTTTTACAATCAAATTAACTTTTGCATACAAGTTTACTTGTACTTTTACAATCAAATTAACTTTTGCATACAAGTTTACTTGTACTTTTACAATCGAATTAACTTTTGCATACAAGTTTACTTGTACTTTTACAATCAAATTAACTTTTGCATACAAGTTTGCTTGTACTTTTACAATCAAATTAACTTTTGCATACAAGTTTACTTGTACTTTTACAATCAAATTAACTTTTGCATACAAGTTTACTTGTACTTTTACAACCAAATTAACTTTTGCATACAAGTTTGCTTGTACTTTTACAACCAAATTAACTTTTGCATACAAGTTTACATCTACGTACAAGTTAGCATCTACCGTTCTTAAATTATGCTAATAACTACAGTAACCCCAGAGATTTTTTTTGCATTATCAAGAGATGTGGCCACAGTGTAGATTTTTGAGCATCTGTCAGTATGTTCTTCACATATACATGTAGCTATCGTATGACTTCAGGAGTCATATGGACTACTTTAATGCCACCTTTATGGTACTTTTTTTTTTTTTGTCATTTTTGAGCTCGATATCCCCAGGCCCCACTCACTTTCATTTTATGTAAAGGACCTGCCAAAAAATCACTTGATTAGTTGCAATTGCTTATAGCCTTCAGTTTAATTGTGTTTTTCAAATTTGGTTAGGCAGTAAACCTTTCAGTGGATGCTCTATGAGTGTGTCTCACTTTGATTAATCACATTTTCTCACTATCTCTCGTTTCCTTGCTCCTCTAAAAGCAGACTAATTGAATTGCCCTGTTGAGGGGTCTTATTCCCTCCAGCTTTTTCTGTGTTCCTCTCAATCTCCCTTCCTGACTCTCATATCATCTACTGCGATTCCACTGCCACGAGCTGATCTCAGATCTGGGAGTAACCTTAGAGGTGGACAATTTAGCATCAAGAACAACATCAATGTGCTCGACCCATTCTATCAGGAACCAGCAGTATGCATGTAAAGACTTACTGAGTTCAGTCTACTTAAGTTCACCAAGGTCGTCTATATTCCCAGGAGAACACTATTCCATTCATCTCAAAAGCCTGCGAAAAAGATTGTGAATGGCCGTCAAAGATGCTTTTTGGAACCTACCAGCAGGTAGAGCATTTCTCGCTGCATAGTGCATACTATTTCACTTAATATTTTTTAACCAGAGCATTCATCACCTTTTGAAAGTAACTTGGCGGTTCATATAAAGATTGCATCATTTAGATTGTTACACCAGTAGGAGGCAACAAGTGACTGTTAAAAAGTGTATGTCATTGAATCATTCATTCTAGAGATTTGTTCAAAAAAACGCTGATTCATCCAGTAATGAAACAAGTGAAGTATTACATGAGTGAGTCATTGAATCATTCTTTTTTTTTTAATTTTTTTTATAATTCATTCAAATAAATTAAACATTTTAATAGACTGCAGCAATTAACATTTAGTCAGAACTTCTAGTAAATTGCATGTTATTTTGTTTAGTTGTCTGTTCAGAATCGTGATCTCTGTTTGAAACAAACAAACAAACAAACAAAAATCGTGATTCTCAATTTATCCAGAAATGTGCAGCTCTAATTCATTTCCAAACATCGCCTAGGTTTTCACCATGCACTACTTAAAATCGTAAACTATTTTGGCACCATATATGCTCTCTTTTATCACTCTTTTTTGCTGAACTGTTGGAACGTGAGCATTTGCGCACTATTTTCCAGACTGAGCTCCAAGCCCATACTGTGCATCCTGGGCTCCTTCTCTCGGGAGCGGATTCTGATCTTGGCAGCAAAGAAAAGACTGATCAGTGTGGCCAGACTGACCTCATCCTGTGGCTCTCTGAGTTGCATCCATACACACACACACACACCATCTGGAGAGTACAGACTCCACTTATCAGACGCAGCCAAAAAGATGATTGCTTAACAGCATGGCCGTGCCTTCATTTGATCAGATGGACTATATTTGCATGCTTTGGGCTTCGCCCTTGTGCGGTTCGAGCAGGAAGGGCAGATCAGACATGGAATCTGTGTGCTTGGCTGAGCACTGGTGTCTAATAATACCAGCTAAGCACTCTGTAACTTTACGCCCTCCTAAAAGTGCAAACTCCAAGTTCCCTGATGGCTCCACAACACCAGAACATAATGCATTTCATTATAATTTGATAACATTTTATGTTGAGATTACATATTGTGGTAGAGGTTGACCCCTAACATTGTGACTTTTTTCACAATAATTCATTACACTGCCTATTTTACACATACTACATGCAAATAGAAATAATTGTGATTATTGAATTTCTTTTCTTTTTTTTTAAATCTATTGACAGCCCTAGTAAAAATTCTAAATAGAATTCTTTGGTTGTTGTTGTTTTCTTGCTAGTGTAAGTAATGTTTATATATTAAACCTGAAAAAATGTGTCAATATTAAGTGTAACTGAATCTCCTTGAACATCAGTATCATTGCGCAGTGAAAGAAAAGGTGGTTCTGGCCGCAGCTGCAGTAGTGTACTAGCAAGCAGTCTGGAAGGGCAGTGTAATCGAAGCGCGAGACCACCGGGACCAGGAGCGCGGGTGAAACATGGCAATGGCTGGAGGTTGTTATTTTATGCTGAGCGAGCAGCAGCTAGTCAGACTCAAACCCAATCTCACGACCTGTATTAGAGGAATGGATGAATGAGTCCTAGGTGGGAAGGTTCAACCCAAAAAGCCGCTGAGTAAGAAGGACATTGCTGGTCTCCAGTTCCAGAGTTGAGCTATGGAGTGTGACTGGATCTCTTTCACCTTCCCTCCACCTCATCATGCTGGTCACAGTGGAGCCTGATCATGGGTCATATGAGAACGGGAGTTGCAGGCTCAGGCCACAGAGGTGTCAGTCAAACTAGAGGTGAGGGCTAAACATTAGTGCACGTAAAGGCAGGCCAATGACAAAGAAAAAAACTAGTGATTTATTAAAATTGCTACCCAAAATGGAGGGCCAAAATCATTAACTGAAACTGACGTTTAACCCTCTAGGGGTCGACGGACAGGTGGATTTTTTTTTCTCATAACAGCGGAAAAAACTTTAAATACCCCACACAGAAACGAGTAATACATCATTTGAAACTGTAAAGGGTCTACTTTTAATTGTGTACACTCACAATAACAACAAACCTTTGTGCTTTTGTAATATAAAGAAAACAAACAGGGTGCGCTTTCTGCCGTCTCCGTCTCTGTGAACTTCTTTCTGAAACGCGTCTCAAAAATGAAATGAAACGAAACTCAGCGAATACTTGCCACACAGACATAAGAGATATGTATTTAGAAAGCTTGAAGTGTCTACTATTAAATTAAGTAATTCATATCAAAAACAAATATTCTCTGTTTATGTACTCCGTATGAAACATGGTAATCGTCCACGTCAGCCACGCTAACCTCTAAACGCCCTATCACCTCGATAAACAACGCATCAAGCTTCATCATTTCTCTGCTTTGGAAGAAGTGCTGTGGCTCAAAAGAAGAACGCGAATGATCCAGAGGAGTATTGAGCAAGTCATTTATTCTTACTTACATTAGTTAACATGTTATTGTTACAGAAACTTATACACATTTTACTAGTTGAGCTATAGCCAGACTAAAATACAGCACTTCCCAGATTATGTGTTTTGACTGTCAGTGTCTATTTTATGTGCACAGGTAACCGGTACAGCACTACATCAGGTAAACTTCACCATAACCAAAAATCAGGCTAGAGTCGCAAAATTTGTTAGGGCTGATATATCGAGAGGCGGCTCAATGCTGAAGAACTTTACTACGACTGGTTTAATTTATTAGAACATGACACCCTGCACACCATAAAGAGTTCAATAACCCAACCCTC